CCCCAAAACCCCAAAACCCCAAAACCCCATATTTAAAAAAATCAAGTTTAAAAACAAATTGATAGTTAAATTTAATTAATATCTAAAAATAAATTGTGCAGTAAGCCAGTATATCTAGAAATAAATTGTACAGTAAGCCAGATTTTTAGCGATTAATCCATCATCTAGATTTCTCCCAGTGCGTGATTCAGTCTTCAATATTTTCAAATTTTAGATCCTATGGTCAAGGAGATATAATTTCTCCTAGTCCGTACTCGCATTGTAGCTGATAATTGTCTTTCTTGTCTCTTTCCGTAAGTGGATCTCAAGAGTGGTGCTTAAAGTATGCAAAGTTGAATCTGTTGATTTTCAGATTCCTCAAAATCTTCTCTCTGATCATTTAGTCATCAAGACCTATTTGGCAAGTCTCCCATTATGCTTTACCTTTCATAGTTCAAAGAACTATCCTTCACAATAATCTTTTTGTGATGCAAGCATCTTTGAAGGTGCTCGATAAATACCAATGCTATTTTTATTGATTTGTGATATGCTTATTCATCATTGGGATCCTAATGAAACCGTTTGAATTGCCTTGGAAAGAGAATTGTCTCCTATTCCCAAATTTTTCATCAAATTCTTACTATGTCATATGGTGTAGTACTAAAACTCACCAAAAATTATCAGTCGTACTGAAAAATTCTGGGGCTTTTCGTATTTTAATTGTTCTGCGATAATTCCAATACCAAGTGCCTTCACCACCTAAACTCTAAAATCATAGATTTGCGAGTCCATATTGCATAGTTTTTAAAGCTATGGCATGTATATTTCTTCACTTGCTGCATGAATTATTCATCACATGATTTGCTGCTTGTGATTTAAGAAATCTCTAGGACTTGCCTTGAAGTATCTCTCTATTAAGCAACTATAGATGCTTTCATTTTCGATTTGAAAATTTTGATTTAGACATACCTTCCATCTGGAATTTCTTTCACCCTCCCAGCTTGGTATAAAGCCAATTGATAGAGAGTAGGAGGACATTCAAGCAGATCCGCTATTTCCTCAGTCAAAAATTTTCTCATATTAAGTAACTTATTGGCCGCCTTCAATGAAATACGCCATCAAATTGGCACTAAGTCTATTAAAGTAAACTCTTCTCTGTTTCACAAACTAGCTCAGACAGCGCATTCTTATCCTTTGCAGGCAAAAAAAGGGGAAGAATAAAATGATCAAAGCCTATTCTTTTTTCAATTTAACTTTGTTTGGCCAATTTCTTTACTCAGCAAACTGTGACTAGGAGGTTGCTAGATGGGACTACTCCGAAAAAATCATCTATGTCATTGCAGATTCTGTTTTTGGCCTCACCCATACCATTTTGTATTAGGCAAACTAAGATCTTAGAATTTCATGGTATTGAGTAGAAAACCTAGCTCACATCATGTTGATTTCCTTACTTGTATCGACTGCCATTTTTATCAATTGAGATCCAATACAATTGATCAGAAATTCAAATTCACCTTGGTTCAGATGCTACTTATCACAAAGATTAAAAAAATATTATCAAACATCTTTTACATAAAAGTGGAGATATTTAATATTTAGTATATCATGCTAAATATCCAGACTTTGCAGTCCTGGGGTTTTGGGGTTTTGGGGTTTTGG